GACAGGAGGAAAGAGCGTGGGAGAAATGATGAATCGAGGATAAAAAGGGGTACTTGCACGAATATTTCCTGCAATTATACGCGCAATCAATTTTTTACACTCACATACATCTTAATGCTGCCGTGTCTCTCGTTACAAGTTGCGTTCTTTCTCTTCGATTCTAACGGAGACATGTCCTGATACAGTTCTCTTTCCGCGACGAAATAGCGCGCCATAGGCAAGTATATCCGGGAAGTTTGGGCCATTGAACCGTGCTGCTGCTGGCGAACACAATGAGCGACCGAACACGGCGTAGACACGGCCACTGACCGTTGCTCGTCGACCCGGGCCGATGTCCCTCCCCCGCCCCGTCCGATATGTCGTACGTTCCCCCGTAGGAAATTGGCCCAAGGGCCGTGACCGCGTATCGACATTACGTCAAGCCGCGCCACGTCGATCATACTGTCGACATTATGAAATAATTAGCGACGTTACACAACGTCAAAGAAGAGAGCGATACGATCGATCGCAGCGAGCGCTTTTATCCAATCGTCGTAATGCCAGGGTAACCCGCGAGGGGGTATCCGGAACATGCACGCACGCACCACTCCCATCAACATTTTGCGTCACGTGGAGCGTAGTCGCCGCTCGTGTCTACAAAAAACCGCCGCACACGCAAATCGGAGTCGCGACGACGCGAAGGGAGACAAGGTGGTCGACCGCGAGGAAACAGCGGTCAAGATTTATCGAAGGAATATCGGACGGTCTCATTGCTTTTGTCCCGCGCTGAAATAACTTACGTGCTATTTTTGACAAAAAGTGTTTGATAAGTAAATTCTGTAAGAGACGTGAATCAACAAAATCGCATAAATTAACTGTCCGTTAAATTTGCCGATTAAACTTAGATCGGATAACAGTAAAGAGACGAAATTATTCAATTTGAGAAATGTCAATGGAATACTGAGAATTTCTCGATGATTCCCAGCGGAGTAAATAATTAAATTCGTCTCACGTTAAATAAGGACGACCGAGATTTCCCGCGAAGAATTTCCAGCGATTACCTCATCGACGTCTGATTCATAATTTAACGTACTTATTTTTTTACCGCGACATTCCGTTCACGACAGATGTACATCACTTTAAATTAATTTTGGTGGAATGTTAAGTAATACGATTGCATTGCCTCGACCCGCTTCTTCCTTCTCGCCGCGAACGTGACGATGGAGACGTGACAAATGCCGGAGACGCCTTAGACGCCTCACGGACATAAGAATGCGTGAGGAGACAATTTAAGGGAATTAAGAGTTAATTGCTTTGAATTGAAAATTTCGCCGCCAATTGAGGCGGAACGAGCATATTACGTAGAAATAGAAAAACGTGTCGGCGCGACAGTGAAACTATGCGACGGGAAAGTCACTTGATAATGCATCTCGGGCAAACAGTGCTCCTAGTGGAAGAGTAATCAACGAGCCTATTTAACGCCGTATCGATCAACCGGTACACTTGACGCGATGAGTTCACGTTATCTGATGTAAACGCGACGATTATTAACGTCAAACTCGACGAGATAAATCGTTAGGTGATCGGAAAACTTTTTTTCCGCTAATTGCTCGAGAAATTTCAATCTACGCGCTTCCCGCACTACGTGCCAACGGATAAACCGGTCGGTGAGAGCGATAGAAGCTCTGCTCGACCAGCACGACCGTGTCATAACATGCTCAACAATGTCATGTCGCTATTACGAGGCGCAACACAGCAAGCGCACTGCACGCGGTTGCATACTACCACTTGTAATTCCTTTAATGACCCCGGAATGCTGGGCCGTTCGAAGGGAGTGAAAGTCCCGCGGCTCTGAACGGCCAAAGCTCGCGGTGGTAACCGCGATGACTCGAAGGTTGCGCGAGAGTGAGACGTTCTCTTCCTCTGCCAATGTCTACACCAATGCTGCGATACGTATCGGTCGTATCAACAAAATCGTTATATAATATAATCGCTCAATAAACTCAGACAATAATTGTCCAAGTGCCTATTATCAATTAGAGGAGAAACGCCCGTCAAACCCGTTCGAGGGATACCGAGTAAGATGTGCATGCGACTGCTCGGTTCATCAAGGTTATGTCGGCAACGAGACGATACGAGCTATAAATATCTAGAATTCTTCTGTAAGAGCACGGGACCTTCGGTCCGTCCCGCGCTATGGAGAATGCGTGTTTTCAACTGTCCGAGCGATACGACCGCATCCATCACCGCCGCGGTTGATAAACGACCGCGGGAACGGGATGTAAAAATGATGATATGCCGATAGTCCGCCGATAAAGCAAAAAGTACCGCAAGACGCGGCGGGGTCTATAAATAACGTAACAACGCTAATGAAGCCCCCGCGTCATTACCGTACCCCCAATGTAATCGGAGGGGTCTTCAGCGACTCGGAATTCTTGCTTTCATCAAACCGATTGATAACGCGGGAGAATATAACGGGGAGAATAACGACTACACAACTACGACATTTATTCCACCGTCGGGCGGTAATAGGTTTTTAATAATGCCAACTTGTCGGGTGACAGTCAGACGATTTGACGATAAAATTATCATGCTCGTATAATATCGGGCGAAGAGCCATTGTCTATCGAGACGCACGAGCTGCAGGTCGAAGCCGGAGGCTGCGACAAGGGAATCAGGCTGGCTGGCTGGCTGGCTGGCTGGCTGACTGGCTGGCTGGTAGGCAAGCAGGCAGGCAATCGGCGGGGATAATTTAACCACGCGCGGCGAGAAGCCGGTTTTCCACGGCGGCCTATCACGAAAGTTGCGGGCGCGGAGGTACGACGAACCGGAGGGATGAGTCACGGCTGTTCTTCTCTCTTCCCACTCTCTTTCTGTCGCGTCGAGGTCGCGGCGACGAGAGGTAGGGAGGGAGGGAGAGGAGACCACGCACGCGAGTGCGGCCAAACTGCCGACTGCAGAGGAAGACGAAGAGGAAGGTGGCGACGGTGGTGGTGAAGGAAACGAGAGGATCCCGCCGTTCGCGAGATCCCGCAGCGAGCTACGCGCCTCGCCTACGCGCTCTCGAGAGAGAGAGCGTGATAAGACGAGGAGGAAAAAACACAACTCGCGAGAGAAACGGGAAGAAAAGCGAGAACTTGGCGTCGCTACTTATTATACATCTGCCGGCAGAAACGAATCGCAGCCGGCTCTGCCTGCCGTTGACCGGAAAGAGCCTTACGATGATTCATTGCCGTCTCAGGATAATTAAGCATCCTCGTATGCTTTTCAGGACGATAATTTCAGCAGGTGAATGCAAGTGAAGCGCACTACCTCATTCTTAGCATCCGATCTCGAAATGTATCGCGCAATCTATCGCGAAATTATCTGAAGAAGAAACGTGCGTGAACCATAAACGAAATTGCTTACAATTACGCTCGTCGTTATCACGTTATAGGAGAGACTTAATCGCTCGTTATACCGTTAATTTTCCAAGAATCGATCGCGGTCCAATTGTAAGCTTCCGATGAAGTATCTCGGCGCGCATCCTTATGACGCGAGGCCATCGTCGCCCGATCATCGCGCCAATCTATATAGCTCGATATAACCGCGCTGATCGCGAGGCATAAAGCGCGCGTAACGTGGAATAGCTTGTTAAGCCGCAACGACGAAGATTAATAATAACATCTACAAAGTGAGCTCTCCATCATTCACGGGAGCTCGTGAAAGGCCGTCGCGCCGTTGTAATGGCTGCGCCGAGCGCGTCACGAGGTATAACGTGCAGCTGCATAATACTTCATCGTTTCCCTCGCGCGACAATGACGCGATATACCGGGGGAGGATGGTCCTCGTCGTTCCGCCGATAAACACGCGAACCGTGGAATCGTGAACGATACTAACGAAACTTTGTGTGTTAACGCGGACCCCTCTCTCTCTCCGCGCTCAGAAAAGGAGGGGATTGGGGGAGGGCGGGACAGACGATCGCTTCTACTCCAAATATAAATCTCCGACAATCGCGGGCGCCTTCGAGATTTATCGGGACGTCCCGGGGCCAATTAAGCACACCGTCCGAGAGCCCTCGATCCCCGTGACGGCTATCGCGTGGCCGTCCGCGATTATCTCTCCGAGCGCGGCGCACGCGGATTGCGCGGCACGAACTTCAAGGGGAAACACGAAGCGCTGTACGCTTGATCAAACATAGGCCGTTATTGGTCGAGACTTTTTCGAGACAGCCGGGATCGATTATCCGGTCGCGGCGATTATACGGCTGGCAAAAGATTGAGGAAGTCGGAACGGGGTCGCGGCGATTCATTGCCGCTCGTAAAGCCAATCGCCCTCCTCCTCCCCCCCCCTTCCTCCTCCGCGTTGCGATTGTGCACCACCTACGCTACCTTGCCCTGGAATTTGTTCAGGCGCTACGACATGTACGTATTTCACGAGAGTCATTCGATGAGCGCAAAAACATCTCATTCGCAACGAGCAATAACGCCGCGCCGCTATCGAAGCGCATCGGATTTTATTCGTCGTTGCAGCGATAGCAAGAAGTGGCAATATCGGTAAAATTGAAAATTTGCGACTTTTTCAAGAACAGAGCAAACGCAAACGCAAACGGCCGCGGTATCAAAGAGCGGCGCAATTAGCTCGAGCTAAAATTGAATACGCGATATGTATGCGAGAGCGCGATAATTATTTATTGACACGACACGCGAATAACGCACGATCGGTGTTATGAAATTTACTAGAGAGGTAAAATTATCCAATTATATATGTTGCTGAGAATTACATTATGCATAATGTTTCAATTACGGGTGTCCGTGGGGAACGTTTCCAAGCAAGCTACAGCGAAAATAATTTTAATAGAAAGAAAAAACATACTCGTAAATACAATCCCTCTCGCACTCCCGGGAGATAACGAATTTTAAGAGAAATAACGTTGCATTCTAAGTTTGAGAAGCGCAGTGTTCTGCGCAAGTAATTTCCTGTCACTCCATCAATTGGAGTAACAATGCGTATTCGTGTGGCAGGCTTCTTTTGCGACTCACCTCTGCGAGCGGCTCCTCCTTGGTGACGTCTCCATTCTTGGGCGTTTCGTCGCGGCTCGGCTTAGTCTTGTCCTTCTTGCTGAAGCTGATCGACCTGAAGGACCACTTTTTCTTCTAGAAAACGAGGAAACACGTATGATAGCGATCGGCAGACTCATCGCGCGTAATTGCGCGTCGTATTTCGCGGAAGCAAAACTTCTAAGTTAAGATGAACGGCTGACTAACACACGCGTACGCCTCGACGTACGCTTCGACGTGACGCGAGGGAAAATTTATTTTATTTGTCATCAAGCACGATTAATTAAGCCCGGAGTCGGCGAGCGCAGTCGCCGGTTGCCTCACCTTTTCTTTCTTTTTAGTTTCCTTATTGTCTGGAGAAGTGGCAGTGTTCGGACTGGCAGGGGTGGCCTCTGTGGGCGTCGTGACCTCCGCAACCTCCGCAGGAGAGTCCCCAGACGATTCTTGCTTCGTCTCCTCAGTTTTTACTTCTTCTTGCTGCGGCTGCTGAAAGCAGAGATAAAGTCTCCTTCGAATTTCGTCTTCTGAGTCGTAATTAATTTTACGCGAATAACGAACGCCTTCAATTCGAGCGATAAAAATACTTCCGAAGGGGATATATCAATACGTTGTGTGTGATTGTGCGACAAATATAAATCATATGAATTCTCGGAATATCAGCCGGCATAATATGAATCGTCACATAAATATTTTACCCTAACATAGAGGTTTCCTTAAGCACGGAGAACATAAACGAGAAAAGGGAACTATAAAAATGAACGCGGTGTTGTACGTAAGATATATTTCACGTCATAAATTGTAAATCCTATATATCGTAAATCGATACCTTGTATAGCTGCAATGTACGACTTCCCGCGGTAATACTTCCGAGTCCTACCATTTCGCGAAATAATAGCGCTCGAACATCAGCTGATAGCTGCTTTCAACGCGGCTCCTCACGACACGCGATACATTTAAAGTCGTTAAAGAGAGAGACCTAGGCATTTTCCATGTCATCCTTGAAATCGCGTATACTTCACTTATAACTTTATTACTTCGCTTTACATACGTTATCATTAATGAAACATCGAACATAAATTACATTACAGCCGAGAGCTTCGACGAGGATACATTATATAATTATCAGAAAGCCGATTAAACGAGAGAAAATTCTTCGTAAATTTAAATTAAGAACCTAAAAGTAATATCGTGGAAACGATAAACGAATTATCTCCATTCATCGCCAATTTACCTTCAAACTTAAATCCTACCAATTTGTACGAAAATATATAGAAGCGACATCGAAAATCTCATTATCTCGTTTCCTGTAAACTATAGCTATAGGCAAAAACTGATTACACGGACGGGCTTTTTGCCCGCGGGCGTATATACGTTTCCGTGATGGTAGGTACTTGTATAGTCGTCAAAAGTTTCTCATCTTGCGTCCGGAAGTACCGCAACCACTCCGGAATGAAGTCTCTTTCCCATCGTACCCCGAGGCCCATCACTTATAAATAATATCAAACTTCCTTGAACCGGGTTAGTTTTCCCGGAAAGTGCACAACGAGCTGCACGACACGAGGAGCTCCTTTGTCCCCAGTTCTGAAAGGCTCTCGACGATCTCTCTCTCTCTCTCTCTCTCGCCGGCGAGGTGTGCAGCTTACCAAACTAGCCGAGAAAAGTACGGCCGACGAGAGCTTGTCGGCTCGTCTTTAACGTAAAGGAAGTTCGCCGGAGTCGATTAGATTTCTAGTGTCGAGGTCTAAAGCTTCGGAATTTCTAAGCCTCCCATAGAGATAATTGCATACTTAAGATCCAATTACAAGACAAAGCCAATGAAGATTCATAGAAGAAGAATCATCGGATTATGGTAATCCCATTAACAAATATAAACCGTAAATGACTTATCGCTGAATTTAGATAGAGGCTTTTTTCCACAGTTTTTTAATCTACAGTTATTTTTTAAAAACAGCATGGAAACTATATTGCAAATTCGCGGAAAAAATTCTGAGGGGATTTTTAAGCGAAAAAAACCGCGACGATGCGATCATCAATTAAACGAAGAATGTAATTACGGCGTGAGGCAGGTAGGATAGAATGCTTCGTTAAAAATGGTTCTTGGAAATTGGCTGAAAGACAAATATACCTGCATTTCTCTCCCCGAATTCATGATTCGTCTCATTATCCGTGCTTCCATAAACTAAAAGTATTTTATGACGTACAACTATTCTTTCTCGCACTCGCGCGCGTATATCTCTCGCAATAATTTTTCGTCGTAAAATTTCGTTCTAAAAGTCGAAAAAGACTTTTGTTGTTTTCCGCCAGATCTGACTTTCGCTGAATTTAATAGCTGTTTCCATCTTTCATTTCCAATTCGTGATCGATAAAACTGGTAGCCGCGACGGCAAATATTGTCCGAGTCGTATGAAACAACCGTGAATGGCGTTTCGCAAGTCGAGGCAGGTGACTGGTCGATTGTACAAACAACGGTGCTACTTTATTATCGATGCAAATACGCGAGAACAATTCCACGCGTTTATTCGTAATACGCAAACACGCGCGTATACGCGATGTGATAAAACAACGGCGAGCGGGCAGATCGAGCCCGACGTGCCACACGACGTCGTTTAAGAACGATATAAATCCGACGTGGGCGTTGGACGGCGGATTTCCTGATTTACAACGGACTGTGCGCGAGGCGCGACGCGCCGCCCGCCGTCACATTCGATTACAAGTAACGCGTCTGCACAACGCCGCGTTCTCCGTTTTTCTCTCGCTCTCTCTCTCTCTTTCTCCTCACGCCGTCGCCATCACTTCCACAACGACGGCGAGACGAGGCGAATCTCCTCGGATGCGTTTTGCGCGTATTATACGAGTATTATGTAAATATCAGCTTATTTCTGCATTCACGAGACGCGCCACGGCGAGGAGAGTCTCGTGGTATCCGGCGAAGGCGAGATATGAGCAAAGGCGGAGGGGAGAGAGAAAAAACAAGAACGGACGAACGGAAAACGAGGTCCGAGAGAGAGACGAGGGGCACTGCGCGGGATATTTCTCCACGTAAATGCCCCTCTGAGTACAATGGCACCACACGAATATGTAAGGGACCGCGTCTTGTGATATGAACCTGCAAAACATCGGGGACAAAAAGTGGATGCACAAGTCATTTGCAAGCATAAAGAACCGGCCGAAAATTTTCGTCCGACAGACAGAATAACGCGAACCGCGCGTGTTTTTTGCTGTCATTCCGTGACCCAAACAAATGAAATTAAAAATGGTAATAGGATACATAACGCGAGAGCGAATCGACTGTTTATCAAGTCGCGTTTCTCCATCAGTGTATGAATATTGCATTCAGTGTAAAACGAAATAATAAATTAAGATTCCGCGCGCGAATCGTATTACCGAAGACGCAGGCAAATAATAATAATGAGCGTCTCGTCGAGAGGCCGATATATTGGAATTCGGAGGCCACACGAGTTTATCATTAATTAATATTCAAAGATACGCGGCACCGCGCGCGAGCAACCTTGCGCGACGGATAAAGGCGCCGGATCGTTGGTGCAGCCGATCTCGCACAATATTGGAATACGAAGGAATCTCCACGGGTCGCGCGGCGTGGCTTCAAGGCCCGAAGGCCGAGAGATTTCCACAATAAATTCCTCGGCGCTGCAGGCGTGCATGTATAATATGAATACGCGCCATCTGTCCCGGCATGCACGCAGAGTTTCTATAACGAATTCCCAAGCGTTGAGTAATCGTTCGCCGATCGATGGGACGACGCGCCGACCGCGCCGTTTTATTTTGACTAGACGCGATAGTGTGCCGCCCGCCGTGATAACGCCACGCGATCGCGTAAAGCAAGAAATCGCGCACGCAACGAGGTAGTTAAATTTAAACCGTTAAAATACTCAGGCTTGGGGATTTAAACGCGCGTTTTAAATGAGAAACCGCGTTTCACTGGAGGCCGCGCTAAAGGAGATAGCGTTTACCGCCGCTCGCCAGACGGAGAAAATTCTGCAGGAATTTCAAACGGGTCAGAGCCGCAATTAGTGGCTCGCAAAGCAGATGAGTCGTATTAATTAATAAAGCGCGTTCGTCCCGGAGCTATGCAAGCTACACGCACGATGATTCATCAACGAAACGCGCGGCGCTGAGACGTTCGCGCGGTATTAATTATATATGAAGTGCCTCGTTTAATTTCCGTATGATACCGTGCCGCTGATTCATCGTTCGGAGAGGAGGTCGATAGGCGGATCAACATCTTTTTGCCATCTACGTTAATCGTGTATAATATACCTCTATATCGGTGTATTACAATCGACAAGAGTTAATTATAGAAAGATTCGTGAATTCACGAGATATAAAGCACCCTACAATTTAACTTGTCGACCGTGAAGCAATATATCAATCATTAATAAAATCTCAGCCTATTAATGTCCCGTATTATCTTTTTTAGTCAATAAATAAACAGACTTAATTTT